ATACATACATACATACACTACCAGTCAAAAGTTTTTGAACAGTAATATTTTTTATGTTTTTTAAAGAAGTCTCTTCTGCTCACCAAGCCTGCATTTATTTGATCCAAAGTACAGCAAAAGCAGTAATGTTGTGAAATATTTTTACTATTTAAAATAACTGCTTTCTATTTGAATGTATTTTAAAGTGTCATTTATTGCTGTGATCAAAGCTGAATTTTCAGCATCATTACTCCAGTCTTCAGTGTCACATGAACCTTAAGATAATATGCTGATTTGCTGCTCAAGAAACATTTCTGATTATTATTATTATCAATATTTAAAGCAGTTGAGTGCAATTTTTCAGGATCGCTGTTTTCAACATAACAATAATAATAATAATAATAAATGTTTTTTGAGCAGCAAATAAGAATATTAGAATGATTTCTGAAGGATCATGCGACTGGAGTAAGTCACCTTTGAAATCACAGGAATAAATTACATTTTTATAAAAATATAGAAAACTGTTTCAAATAGAAAACACTTATTTTAAATAGCAAAATATTTTAAAATTGTACTGTTTTGCTGTACTTTGGATCAAATAAATGCAGGCTTGGTGAGCAGAAGACACTTCAATTTCTTTAAAACCTTAAAACATTAAAAATCTTACTGTTCAAATATTTTGACTGGTAGTGTTTAACAAAGGATATGTTCCAACTATCATAAAGTCTGAGCAGTTGAATGAACAGTTGAATGATCAGATAAACAGTTCTTGATATGCAGTACACAAACATACATACATACATACATACACACATAAACTACACAGAGAGAATCCTTACTCTAATAGATTATTCACAGAACATGGCATGGACCTTCAGGCCTTGTTCATCAAGACAATTTGATTTGAATATGCAACCCGTTCTCATCAATCTGCGTATAAATAACACGACTTTACACTTTCTAATTGCGTGTAATGCATATGCCAAATGCCAATTTTGCGTGCATATGATACGCCAATCCTTCACATTAACTTCGGTGGAGAGCAGATGCTTTCAACAACTTGCCAATATGTAAGTTGCAAGTCATGGTTATCTTAGAATAAGAATAGACCCACAAAAATATTTACATCAGTGCCCATTTGGAATGGGCACCATTTATTTCATTAGATCAGGAGCAAGAATACAGTGTTGACAGTAAACAAAGACACCAATTTAAACAACCAATACATACTGTGACACTTCATTGTACTATCACACAAAGTCAATGTGTCATTCAGTAAGATAAGGTACAGACAGTGTGTGGTTTATGGTGCAAAAGCCATACAATTAATGCAATGCAAAGAATCATAATATAAAAGACCTAATTTGTATCTCTGTGTCAAATATTCCTCATCTTTGTCCTCCTCAGGTGCTAAACATCAGTAATGTGCATGCTCATCTTGTTAATAGTACAGTACAGGATTCATGTTGATCTTTCCCTGGTGCATCACCCTCAGTTGTGCATTAAGTGCTTGTACAGTACAGGATTCATGTTGATCTTTCCCTGGTGCATCACCCTCAGTTGTGCATGAAGTGCTTGCAGCAATATAGTCCATGCAGTCTCGTCTAATGCAGCTTTCAGCCTTCATGTAACTGAATGTCATTAATATGACTAAATGTTCATGTCTTAATTAAAACACTCGTGGGAATGATGTGTATTGTTTACAAAATTAAATGGTGAATTTACCAAACACCATCCCTAATACAGAATATTCACCATACTTTATTATCCAACATCATGTGCAATACTTTACTGGAGGATACAGCATAAAGAGAGCTAAAGCAGTGTATTAAGACAAATGATATTCAAGAGAAATAAAAATGGGTTATGTTAAAACCATGTTATTTTAATCAGATGAAGCCACCCAAATGCACGCATGGTGAAATGTCTTGAGCACCAAAGAATCACATCCAGTTTCCTGCCAATCTTCAGAGCTCTCCTGGTTTTCTTCAAATCCATGTCCCTATCATAATCTTCTTCCATATCATACATTTGCAGTTGTTATGCAGCACCCTACAACACAACTGATGAACAAAAGACATGTAACCAATTCAAATCACTTTATTGTCACAATACCATGAACGCAAGTGTACACTACAGGTGGTGAAAGTCTTGGGTGCAAACTGCAGCATGACATTATGGATGAAAAGTATTGAATATATATATGCAACACACATATATAAGGGACTCAATACAGGTAGAGAACAATATAAGGTAAATATTATGCTATACAGAGAGCGTGAAATGAAAACAATAATAAACATAATAATGACAGTACACATATACCTTTGCAGTGCAGCACGGTATGAATTAGTGCAAACAGAATGTCAGGGTGCAGAATAATAGTGAGTCAGAGTCCAGTCAGTGTAAGTGATAGAGTGCAGTGCATATGAGGCTGGTGTGGTGTTACTGGTACGAGTTCAGTTCAGTCTGATTGCCTGTGGAAAGAACTTGTCTCGCAGTCTGCTGGTGAAGGTTCTGTGATAACTTCTGCCTGATGGTAACGGTGAGAGCAATCCATGGCTCGGGTGGCTGGAGTCTCTGACGGTCCTCCTCACACACCACCTGGTGTAGATGTCCTGGAGGGACAGAACATGTATTTGGGGTGTGGTAAATCAATAAACAATATATAGTATTTTTATTTATAATTGTTGCACTGGACTTACCATTGATTCTTGTTGAAGGTTGTTGGAGGTATGGGCCAAAAGAATCCCTCCACAACTATCTTGCAGTTGTCCAGTTGTGAAATTTACTTTTATGTGCCGTAACATCTGCGCTGTCGCAGTAGAGCTGTTTGCGAATGCAGTCTTCACAGCAGATACCTGATGGGTTCAGGCAGCAGTGCTGCACTTGGTGGCCATTGAATTGATTTCTTCATCAACTGGCTTCATCCTCCTTCAAACAAACAGACAAAACAATAAGTCAACAATAACTCTAGAGAAATGGTGTTGGTGAATACAGGTGCAGGTGTCAGTACTCATCATATTCGGTCATTTCCTGCCCAAATCCCAGAGATGATGCACAGCTGATTTGCTCATTCTAGGTGCTATAAAAAGATGTATTTGTGAAAAATGATAACTGTTGACTTGAAGAGTCTTTTGAGAGATCAACATCACACACATAACACACATAACTGCATTGAATAGAGACATACCAATGGAAATGTGCAACTTTTCAGCTCTCTGTTTGTGCACATTGTGCACAAGAAGGCCATGTTCATTCCTCATTCATCAGGACTGGTTTGACCGGCTTGCTGTGACTGATTTTCTTTGCGTTTTTGGTCTTCAGCTGTAAAACAAGAAAATATTTATTGACCCCATGTTTAATTATTATTGTTGTTTAAACATACAAATTAAGCAGTTATAATTATATACTTCAAGCTCAAGTTCCCTGGCAACTCTCGCAGGCTCCTGAGTTCATCTGTATACATCAGATTCAGAGTCTGAGAAAAGGCCATCATGCAAACTCTCAGTTTCTACCTTACAACAGAGCATAAAAGAATGTGTAAGTGAGTGAAGGAGTAAAGGAATAAGATGAAGAGAAATAGGCAGAATTTTGTTGTAATTTTAACATAATGAAAGGAACATTTAAGAGTTAACATTTAATGACACACAGTAAATTCCCGAGTGTTAAATGAACACTGCTCGGAGCATATATGGTCCCACTCTAAAAGAGTGTTAAAGCAACACTGAAGCAGTGTTAAAGTTAATGAGATAATTAAGTGATTAATTAAGTGCTGATTGAGCATTAGTGATGAACAGCTGCTGTTAACAAGCAGAATCACTGAAGAAAAGAGAAACACAAGAACTACAACTGACTTCAATATATAAATGATGAAATCAACTGAAATAAAAGAAGACATTAAATCTCTCAACATCTCAGCAGAAGATTATTAATCATCTCCACAAACAGCATCACCAGCTTCACACATTACTAACCAGTTAGACTTTATTTCTGGAGTATCTAAAACAGAATTAATGTTTAGATGTGTTTTTTTTCTTCAACTTACCGTTTTTGTGAATAGTGGTTGCTTTAGTTGCCTCTTGACCCTTGACTTTTTAAGTTTAAGTATCTCTTTGGCTGGCACAATTGTGTGTATTAAACACATATGTGATGGCAAGAAACTTATGATAAACTCATGTCACGTGACTGAGTCTCTGATTGCAATTTTTCTAAAACCGTAGTGCTTCTATAATTTCTATGTTGTTGCAGTTATGTGAGAAAACAAAGTGAGAAAAACTTTATAAGTGACTTTTATAAATATGGCTCATGAAGAGATTTAAATTCTGGCACTCATAGACATGAAGAATCAGCATGTGAATCTCAGCAATGGTGACAAAATATTCTGATAATTTT